CAGCTTTTTCTAGAGAGTTTTCAGATTTCTGAGAGCTGTACGCCCGATTTTCTGTGACTGCACTTTACAAACACACGTAATTTGACGGCTGATTTTGATCTGAATAGGCATATTGAAAGGGCCATAATTTTCCTGTGGGTTGGGGCGTTCGGCTCCGAATTTCCAATGTAGCAAGAAGAAGCTATGTGCTGAATACTCATACCAGCAATGGAGCTAACATTTTTAGCGGACAGTATTTATATGAATCGATAGCCTAAACCTTGAAGATTCCATAGGACTGTTTGGAGCCCGATTCGTCTTCTTAGCTCTGAGTAATATTTGGTGAAAGTACAGTGATCAAAAGGGAAAATGGGAAAAACGAGATTTTGGTTGGCTTCCAATTCCACAATTTGGAGGTCTTCTGAAGCGGGATTGCTGAGGTGGACAAAGAAGGAGTAGTACTTTGTCTTGAGTGCAAAAACGGATAGCTTATTCATTTTTGAAACAAAGTTAAAACCATGTTGGAATTCGGCTATTTCATTTAGGTAGCCAAGTATCTTGAATCTTCAGAATTCGTTCACACTTTGTTTACAGGGGTTAATTGACATGCTAATTATGGATATGATACAAATATCATGTTATCACTATTTACGGATTACCCAACTACGACCCCCTCCCCTTTTGACTCCTCAATACGACCCCCCTGGTTTGGCGTGCCGCACCCCACGCTTGACCCTGAACATAGCTAATGCGTTAAGTAATTTTCATGAGCAATTTCGCGATTTTTCTGAACATAAAATCTATATGCGTTTTGAAAATTCTTAGATTTTTCTTCCTATTTTCGGTGTATCTAACTTTTTAAATTATTTGTAGACCATCTTATAAGGCTTGCTTTGCTCTATCGATGATATGTTTAATTAGATTTCCATATCTTTTCTGCCTCTCGAGAATAAGTAACACGCATTACGCATCAACCTTATAGCTGGCATTTTCGGCTAAAAAGGTGTCTCTTGGTGATGTGCTACTGCGACAAAATAGTACGTTTACTAAGTCCTCAGAGGTTTTGATATAGATTTTTTCGAAAAACTCATTGTTCTTTACTGTGTTCAGAATTCGAGATCTGCGGACTTATATGGTCTGCATGTATGAGTTCTAGAGCTAAAAAAAATTTGTGACTGTCTGCTTGTCTGGGTAAACCCTTAGAACCTGCCTACTCCTGCAGACGTGCATCACAAGCCCAAGCTATTCCTACCATCACGACAAATAAATAACCCAGCCATTTTCAAACGTTATATAACTCCCATAATTCCTCTGCAACTGCCAAAAACTTGTGTGACTGAATTGAATGATAAAGTGCAACTTGTGAACTCTTTATTGCAGACAGCATCGTTGCAAGCACTCATCAGGAAAATCGCTGATGAGGGTGTGATGGCTAATTAGAGCGCATCATCAGTCCGTTTCAAAAATGATTAGCTCAAATGAATATGATGATGAGTCATTTATTATGTCTCACCTGCTCCTAGTAGATGAAAGTTATGGCAGAAGGCCTTTGACGGGAGGCTGCTTTCCGTTCAAAAAGTTAATATTCAGAGAATAGTAAAATATTTACACTCCAGTGGCCAGTAGGAAGAGGAAAGGAGGACGCACTTCCTCCTTTTGGGTCATCTCGAAATTTGAAACTGTTCTACATGAGAAATTGTTGAAAATTTACTTTTCCAAAGATCTCAAATCACTAAAAAACTGCTTCTTGCATCCGTCTTATAATATTGCTGGAGATTTGGATAGCTCCTGGAAGTTTTTATATTAGGTTGGCACGAAATTTCGTTCGCACCATTTTCAAAAATTCGTAACTCTTTGAATTCACAACGAATTTGTACGATCGAAATTTTGCGTAAGAGAGAAACTCATGTTCTTTGCTGTATATGTGAGTTGTTCGTTAATGTTTACAAATGAAGGAGATAGAAGCTCAAAGCCGAAATCACTCAAAATTTGGATTTTTCGTGTAGAGTTATAAAAAAATCGGAAACTTGCAACAAAAATCGGAGCAGTCGGTATTGTGGTCCTTTCACCAGTTCTTTCTAACAGTGCAAAGTTTGCGTCGATTGAGCGTCTCTATGAAAAGTTATGATCTTCGAGCAAGCAATACAAAAGGGCGAATTTGATTTATTTTGGCATTTTCCAGGGAAATCATAACTTTTCATAGAGACGCTCAATCGGCGCAAAGTTTGCGCTGTTAGAAAGAGCTGTGAAAGAACCTACAATACCGACTGCTCCGATTTTTGTTGCAAGTTTCCGATTTTTTATGACCCTACACGAAAAATTCAAATTTTGAGTGATTTTGGTTTTGAGCTTCTATCTCCTTCATTTGTATACATTAACGAACAATAAAAATATACAGCAAAGAGCATGAGTTCCTCTCTTACGCAAGATTTTGATCGCATAAATTCGTTGAGAATTTAAAGAGTTACGAATTTTTGTGGTGCAAACGAACTTTCGTGCCAACTCAATAGTTACATCCCTTTACGGAAAATATTCTGACTCTTTCTCGAAGGATTTCTGCGACGATCATTATAACATGTAAAGACATAGTATAAAATGCTTTGTCTGTAATGCTCAATTTCCTGTCAGCATTTTGTTTGAGCGTTTACTTTGCTTTTTTTTCAAATTGCAGCTTTTATTGATCTAAAAAGTTTCCTCATTTGAATTTCCTAAGCTCGAAGCATTGATGGCCAAAGTAACGAAATGGACATATCTCAATTTCCACGAGAAAACTGTGCAGAAAGTCAAACTTTTAATTAATATTCGTCTTCTCAGCCTGTAATATTACCCAAAATAATATGCTATCTCAATGTAGCAGTTGAAATTAACTATGCAAAACTCGTAGCTATTTTATCAATAATCTAAATCGCGTGCCTCACCACAGAAATGTTTACAGATACATTTAATAACTAATCCACTGCCTTCTCTTTTCTGTCATTTGCAACCATTAAATGTCGACATTTTATTTTTTATTCCAAGCAACAAAATCTCGTATCAATCATCTCACCCTGACTACATCATAAATTTTCAGAGGAAGTTCAAGAACTAGAAGAATTAAATTTAACATGTTCTAATCGAAGATTGCTCTAAAAATCAAACTGTTGATTATTCCCAACATCCAGCAAAGCATCGAGTTCCAATTGAAAATCGATTTGAAAATCAGCTTGCAAATTTTTTTCAACGTTCGCGTAATTATCTTTACATGTATTGCAGCTGCTTCTCAACCCGCAATGTTAAGCGGCTCATCAAAGATCATTATGGAGCCCGCCTATTCAATCAAATGCTGCTCTGTAATTAAGCATTTTTTTCGAGAACTGATGATCAGCTATCACAAAAATAAGCATTATATCAGCGTGGGTGCTTATTGTTCCACACATCCGTAAACAAAATTTGTCATAAATTAACAACTAGTAACAGAGTTAAGCTCCCCTATTCTAGCGGTGAACACAAATGACTTCAATTACAATCAACCTCTCAAGCATTATGTCAGTCTCTTTGACAAAGTGCTTTTCCACTTGATGTGAACTATACCACCCATTATAAAAGATGTGCGTGCATTGTAAAATGCGAGAATTTGCTAGCAAAAACTCAATAGCATTTGCAAACCCGAAAATGTGAGCCATGGCTTTTCCTGAAACCTGTTTAGTGCTTTATATTTTTGCTAATCCTGTACCATGCCAGTAAAGGTGTAATACGTGATAGTAACTAAAGTCCCAGATTTTCATAACTTCGTGATTTTTGAGTGATCTGAAAGACTACAATACTCCTAGATCGAACATGGTTAAAATTGTATATGTATTTTAATGGTTTTTATGTCTATCAAAAGCATTATTCAATCCAAACCTATAGTTCATCACATAGTCCTATATTTTTAACAGCTCTAATCATAAGTTTTATCGAGCTGATTCCGATTGCCATGTTGAGCAGAACTTCATCTATTCATAATTAAAGTCGTTATGGAACACTCTAAAAAAACATCTGCTTTCAGGTATCTTACGTGTAAGTGTGGAAGAAAAACTCTTCCATCACCATGCACTTTTTATGTGCTGGAGATTCCCCTTGCATTCTTTAGAGTTGCCTCAGAATAGAACTTTGGATTCATTTGAATGATGAAACTGATAGATGGAAACATAAAAATGGGTCTTTGAACTTGAAGAAAAGGAAAAAATTGTGTAAGGATAAACACTGTTGACGTGGCTCAATTCACTAATTATAGTCCTTTCAATGAGGGCAATTCCGCTTACCATAATCAAAAGCACCTTCTTTAATGTATATAATATAATTTGTCCTTCTAGTTAAAGCTTCCTTGTTCTGGACACTACTGAATCTAAGTAATAACTCTGCTGTAGAACGTGACTGCTATGGTTTGATCATTTTTCTCATTATCTACGTGTGATCTACGTTTAGTTTTATCTCTAGCGATAAAAAGTTGCTATTTCCTTTGTAGATGCAGCGCTCGGTTTAGCGAGTTCAAAACAATGCGCTATGATGGAATTAATTTATTTTAGGAGCTTAATAAACGATTGAGAAAAATTTTATTTTTCGTGCATGCACAAGAAAATTCTCAAATTCCAAAGCCCTCACATTGAGTCAGTTCTCAACGTACTATCGAGAATATTTTCTAATTGAGATTTGGTTTTTTACACTATCGGATTACAGATTTATCAACATTCAATGACAGATATTATCAAAGAGCGATGGCGTTTGAGTTGAGCTGAGTTATTTCCTTGAAAGGATTATTCCGCTAGAAATAGAGTGTACCATTTGTACTCGAGTCTCATAAACAATTGTGACACAGCGTTCTTCTTTATTTTCAGATGATGTCTGGTCAATCATGCCATAATCCTACTCTAAACATTTAAACATCATTTCTTTCTGTAAACTTCTGAATTAGAAAGCTGTTTATATCCTGTCGATAACTTTCGCGCTAAACTGCTTGAAATGAGCTGAGCATTCGTTAATGTTCAATTTTTCAGTAATCGATGCATCTTCTGACTTCACTGCTGTCCCTGGCCCTTCTGTGTGGACTTTGTAAGCTTTCAATGTTTTTTCCCAATCAACTTAATCTTTGAACGGATTTTCTTTTTTTTTCCAGCTTCAACGGCACAGTACAAACGAAATTTGGATCTACTGGATATGATGAAAACGCCACTGTTAATGACATATCGCGAAGAAGTTCCGGTAAAATTTACTTCTGTGTTTTTTGATTGTCTATTACTCAAACATAACTCTACTGCAGGAGAATCAGCTTTACTATTTGACGCAATTGCAAGAGGTCCCAAATGCACATTATTTCCGGCGGAATGGTGTTGTACCTCGACTCTAATGCAATTAATTTATTCTTATAATGCTGAAAGTTCCACAAATACTTTGTTTGTAAGGCCTATGTAAACAGTATTGTGAATGAAGTTTGTTGTTTTTCACTCTTCGTCACTGTACTCCGTATACTAAAAACTAGCAGGCTTACCAGGCTCTGCCCGACCCTGTCAAAACACTATCGATAAAGGTCCCATTCCTACACCTGCCCAACGTTTCCCTATGCCCACTTCTACACGCCAATTCTCAATTCCCGCTTAGTAATCAGCATAATCACTTACCTCCCTATGCCAATTCCCAGCCCCGTAGCTCAAACTTTGCATAAAATCGATAAAAGATAAGATAGAAGTAATCGATAATTTTGAAAAATTATTTTGTTGTAATCAGCATGCCCACCTACACTAATATTGTAATCGTAATCACCATGCTCGAATACCCCCTGCCAACTCCCAGCCCCGCAGGTCAATTACAAAAAAATTGATAAAAACCTATAAAAATTGGTAAAATTGATATCGATCGATGACGAAAAGTGGCTTATGACACCCGCCTTGCCCCGAAGTGTATATGTGCCAAGTTTGGTCCGGATCTGTTCAGAAATAAAGATTTCCAGTCGGAAGATACATACATACATAAAGTGCGGTTCATTATTATACGAACACCCCGAATTTTAAAAATTTCTGCGCTATCTGGAAGAAACTCAAAAAGCCGTTGGTACCATGCGAAAGAGCACAGCCGAAAACGGTATACGATCCACAAGAATGGAAACTGATGTCAATCTTAGGAGTGTTTTTGCGCCTAATGCGAATTTTGGCCGGTTCATAATTATACGAACACCTCAAACAAAGGTTTATCTTTCATTCGCGAGTGCAATCTTTTAAGTCCAAATTTTTTCTAGAGTTACAGTAACAAAGTTTGAAACATATGCTACACACTGAACCCGGTGCAGTTCAAAATAGGAGCGTTACTTATTCCAGATGACTCTAAATGCTTTTGGAGTGATTGCGCTCTAAAAACATCCGTTTTTTTTGTGTTTACGCGCTCTAATTAGCTTCTACTAAAGCTCTGAGATAGAATGAGCTCTTTCGACAGGTATTTTGTTTGACGCTTGGATGATCTTTGCGTTTCGTGCCGTTTTTCAGCCAAGTTCCAACCTTACCTTAGAGTTGGCACGATTTTGAGCCTCAAAACTCAGCTTCTGTCTCGGGCAAACATTTGAGATGAAGGAGCTGCGCTGTTTGCATGATGATGTACCCGTGCTAAAGTTTTTGGGTTTTTTGCACAACAAATCTTGATGCTATGGAGCTGAAATCCAAATAAAAGGGGATTGCAATAGTAAAAACAGTGGTTTTGGTGAAATGACGCCTCCGTAGCCAAAACAAATGCTCCACGTTGCTGATAAATCCTAGCCAAATACGCTTTCTTGTGAATTTCTACATACTATGTGCTTACTTCATTGTAGAGCTTCAGAAAGCGTGTTTTGATTCTCGAAATCGTGCCAACTTTAGGGTAAGGTTGGAACTTGGCTGAAAAACGGCACGAAAATGCAAAGATTTTCCAAGCGCCAAACAAAGTATCTACTGGAAAAGCTTATTTTATCTCATAGACTTGGTAAAAGCTAGTTAGATTGCGTAACCACAAAAAAAGGACGTTTTTGGAGCACATCGACTCCAATAAGATTTAGAGCCATCTGGAATAAGTAACCTTCCTCCTTTTGAATTGCACTGGGTTCAGTGTGTAGCATATGTTTCAGACTTTGTTACTGTAACTCTAAGAAAAATTTGGAATCGAAAGATTGCACTCGCGAATGAAAAATGCACCTTTGTTTGAAGTGTTCGTATAATTATGAACCGCTCAAAATTCGCGTTAGGCGCAAAAACACTTCTAAGATTGACAACAGTTTCCTTTCTTGTAGATCGTATACCGTTTTCGGCTGTGCTCTTTCGCATGGTACCAATGGCTTTTTGAGTTTCTTCCAAATAGTTCAGAAATTTCTGAAATTTGGGGTGTTCGTATAATTATGAACCGCACTTTATGTACATATAATCGTCCTCACCCCACTAGTCGGCTCAGTGGACGAATTCGAATTCAATTTGGAGCAGGCCACTCGCGGCAGAACGCGGCACCCAAACCCTCAGTTCAAAACTAAGCATAATTCGTTTTGGTTTTTTTACACCGTTGCTTGTTAATTTATGTACTACATATGCCAGTGTTTCTAGTCGAATTTGCGTTTTATTATTGTTGAGTGTTGTTTCGCGCAGTTATGCTCGGTTTTTGTTTGCCATCTTTTGTTTGGGTGACTTATTCAAGCTTTTAGAAACGATGCAGATGGCAAAATTTTGTGACTTGATCACTAAACCAACACTTCTGTACGTATTATTTACAAAAGAAAAAAAATTACAACAGAGGTTTCCCGTCTGTTTTGTTTCTGTAATTACTTGTATTCAGACTTGAAGTAACGAGCATAGCAGTACAAAACGATGCTCGACAACAATAGAATAGTATTAAAACAAACTTACTTATTACACGAAAATTAACAAACAGCTACAGTGAAAAACCATAAAGAAAATGCGCAAAATTTGAAGTGAGGGTTCGGGTGTCGTGCTCTGCCGCCACAGGCCTGCTCTTGTTCGAATTCGAATCCATTGACCGACTAGTGGGGTGAGGACAACTATACATACATGCATACATACAGATAGAAATTCAGTTTTAAGCTAGATGCCATAAGGATTTTGAAATGGATCCTACAATGCTTTCATGCCGGGAATGTCCAGTAAATGCAGAATACTATCTTAGGTCATCCTGTTTTCCTTTGTGGCAATTATATCGGCTGGTGAGTGAAGTATATCGTGTCTAGTAGCATAAATCATTTCTGCAACAACTCAATAACTTGACAATGACTATGAATGAAAAGAATTGCAACGGTTCCCTGTGAATTCCTTAGAGAATATGTAAAGACCTCACCAACACGTCATGGCAAGTTTGAATTGGTAATTAAAGAGAACACTCTGCCATCTTAAGGGCCGGGCATACTTCACGCGATTTCAGTCGCGACGCGATTTGGCAATTCGCCAGAAGTCTTCACATTCAACACTAGCAAACTGCACATGCATAGTGTGTATAACTTACGTGAAATGATAGAATGCCCCATCTTCTATGCATTTGAAATGTGCTTACAACGAGTTATGCACAGTTGGAATATTTCCAAATCGGGTCGCGACTGAAATCGCGTAACCTATCCCTGGCCCTTTAGTCAGAGGATCATGACTTATAATAAAGCGCTAAGCGTCTGTCTGTGTGTGTATGTGTGTCTGTCACGAAATTCACAGAGTGAGTTGCAGCCAGCGTCTTGATCTAGATTTTTGGTCATAGTACCCAGTCAGCGTGTAGGTAAACTATGCAAAACCACAAGCCGATCCAATAAGTGGAACCATTGAAAACTGTTCGTCAAACGGATCCACGCGACTTTTGGCCTGCCAAAATGGGTGTTTAGCAAGTGAATCCAAAAAACATTGACTTAAGCTTAAAAAGTAAGCAAAAAGTCTATTTTTACATGATGGCGCCAAAAAGATGTAACTGAGCAAACTGTCGATTTGCCAAGTTTTTACTATGAAAATTGTGAGGATTTTTGAATAGATATGTAGCCCAGGGTGGTCTTTATTCTTATGGCGACTATAAAGCCAAAATAAATTCAGTAACCCATTCAAAAACGCATTTGTTTTTCTGCGGGAAAATTTTTTCTCCCAAAATTACCGATCTCACATGGAAAAGCTCTAAAAATGAATGGTTGTTTACAGTTCATTCGTGATGTTCAGCATCGCGCGGTGAGTTTCAAAGTCATTATTATGCGATCACGAAGAAGGCATGGATAGTAGAGCCAGTGCGAACCTCTGCGAAGCAGAGGTGACGCACTGGTACTCTAATAAAGCTACTAACAACATGCTTTGATAGCACCACTTCTATAGCAAGAAATGGGCTTTAATACAGATTACGCAACGCTTCTGAAGTATCTTCCCGCACGGCGCTGAAGTACAGAGCTGGCACGGCGTTGATCCGGCGTTGGCACGGCACCGGCACACAGACAACTTTAGTCTCCCTAAACGGCGAGGCTGCGTCTAAAAGATTTGTGTGCCGGTCTTGTGCCAACGCCACTGCCGTGTCAGCGCCGTGCTGGCGCCTTGCCTGAAGGGTACTTTTGTCGGTCGACGCAATGTTCGCATCCGGCACTGGCTGGGTTCAACTGTAGCTTGACCAGGGGCAGTATTTATCAATCTCCTGTATGGGAAGGGGTTCCCGTACAGGTAGCAGCCCGCACAGGCGCGGGCACTGGCGCCCGCGATATATGAAGCCAAGCTGATGATCGGGCTCCTGTCTATTGAAGGATATGGTCCGATCTGGCAAGTTTGGCCATGTCGGGTACGGCAGTCGGACAGCAGTTCCCCATCTCGACAAGTCGGGCGGCGCTGCCGTTTGGGCCGCGCTTCCCAAACTTTCATAAATCGCGGGAACGGAGCTCTCACCGCGGGCTCTCGTTAACAATGGCCCGCACAGCGAGTGGGAGGTTGATAAATACCGCCCCAGAAGTTAATTAGGCCACAAAGCCCCGATTTCTAGCCGCCAAACAGTCGAATCAAAGTGTACAGTCTTTTTCAATCCGGAGTAGGCGAACAATCCAAGTGGAGCAACGCGTCCACACCGCCATTGGCTTAGCGAGACAGATTAGAATGAAGAGACGCAGACTGCAGAGCGGTGCGAAGCGGATTTCCACCAGTCCAATTTCCGCCTAAAGTGGGCTGAAACTTACTGTACTAGCTGGTGGTTTCCGGTTTCACTCCTAACTCAGAATAAGTTTAACCAAAATGTTTTACTTATGCTTTTGACTCTTGTACCATCGGAAAGCGCTTTGAGACCAACCTTTCGCATCCTGCCGATCTTGAGGTTAGAATGAGCTTTATGGCCCTTGCTTACATGTTTATTGGAAAGTAATTGGTTAAAGCATATCAAACTTTCATTTTCCCGGATTTGAGTGAGCAAATCACTAAATCAATAGAAGGACCGTGCGAAAGTAGCTTATAATCTGCACAGGGGTCGG